GGGGACCTATGAGAGCCTGCGCAAAGACCACACGTGACAAGGAATAATGTATTTGCGCCTGAACAACACCCGATCACGCCTTGATCTGCAACCCTCATCTCGTCGAAAGTTCCCACGGTCTAACGTCGGGCTTCGAGCAGGGTAACAATAGAATGGCGATTAGAAAACCGGTCGACAGACCAGGGCCCACACCCACCCTTACACCGCGTGCACCAACGCAGATAGCTGTGGCAAAAAGGAGTGTTAGCAACATGACCAACGGAGCGGGATCGAAAGACATCACGCACAGGACCACCACGAGGCACGACCCCCTGGGAGGAGGACGCGCCCGGCCGAACGCCCGCGACTCAAGTGACGAAGGGAGCGATGACGGTGGCTGCACGACCCCGAAAAACGGAACAGGAAGCTTCTTGAAGAAGGTAAGTACATCGCTTGGGTTCTCACCAAAGCCGGTCAGGCGCGCGTCGTACACGACCGACCCCACTTCCGACACACCCAACAACGACTCCGACAGCACTTATACGATCCCCACAACAATCCCGGCTTTTGCACCAGTGGCACACGGCCTAGAGACAGACGACGAATCTACCAGAAGCAACATACACCCGGTCTTCCAACACGACATACTGATCGAAACTGACGGCAACCCAGACGCAATTATAAGGGAATACACCGGGATCATCAACGACGCAAAATCCGCCCTCCAACGCCTGCGAAGGGCACGCCCGGACTATGAAGCCGCACTGCCCGAGGAAGTCCAAAACCTAACCATGGATGTCACCAGGCTAGCGACGGGCCGGCAATGGGAGGCGACAGAGGTCTACCGCGAACTGCAAGCCCTCCGGGATGAATCACGACACAACGAACACATGGCAAAACAGAGGTGGACCGACCTTCAAAACACGGCCACCCAACGCGACCGGACGATATCTGCAATGACACGCCAGCTTTCCGAACTCAACAACACAGTAAAGTCAATGACGGACATGCTCAAGACAACAAACGACAACATGGAGAGGATTCAGCTAACCGCGGCAGGCCCGATGACACCTGGTCATGCGACACCCACCACCGACACCCCAACCGCTGCGCCAACCACCGGACCCGGACCCACATATCGGCCCACGAGGAAGACAACAACGAACACGACAAAGCCAACGGTGAACAACCCGAAGATGCCGCACCACCCCTCTCGTCTGATCATCAATCTACATGGCAAAATCAACGAAGAGCAGACGAAGAACCAGCCAAGCCAGACTCAAATGGTTTCGGATATCAACGCCGAGCTACAGAAGCACGAGGACTCGAAACACTTACTGGTAACAGCACTCACATGGACAAAGAATGACAACGCAGTCCTGCTAACGCGAGCGGACCAACAGGGAGAGGAACTAGCTAAGTTTGCAATGCGCTTCACACACCTACTCATGGCCCCGGGACAGACGTGCTCGGTCCAGCTGGACCGGAAGTGGGTCAAGATCCAAGTGGACCTGGTACGAACTGGCGCGTACGACCCATCACCCACCATTTACGGCCAAGAAACACTCGCGATTGAGGCCACCCGCAATAACCCGATAATAGACAAACTCAAGATAACCAGCCCGCTGCGCTGGCTGAGACGCATTGAAGACCTCAAGTACACAAATCACTCGTCAATCATCTTCGCGGTGGAAGAGTCGGACGAAGCAACGTTCCTCCTCCGGGAGCTCAAGTCCCTGGCCATGTTTGGACGGACATGCCCAGTACGCCTCTTTGCTGACAAACCTCCAGTGATACAATGCACCAGATGCCAACGATTTGACCACATGGCTAACAAGTGCACCCTCGATGTCCGCTGCAAGTTATGCGGCAAAACGCACACCGACCAGGAACACCGTGACAACTGCACCAATTGCAAGGCAGCAAAGGACGCAGGAGACATGGACATTGACGGTGCAGACACCTGCGAGCACCGGATCTGCTGTGTGAACTGCAAGGGCAAGAACGAGGACACAGCGCATGCGGCGGACTCGAGACGTTGCCCGGAACGAGTCTCAAGATACGAATCAGCTTGGATGCACGAGAAGAAGAAGACGATCGACAAAGCATGGCAACAAGTCAGGTCTCCAGGTGGACGACGGAGACTGACTAATACACCAATCGGAGTGGGAGCTGAGACGCAGAACCGGTTCAAGGTTCTCGAACCAGAACGCACACTAGAGCAGCGAGCGGAGGAGCTGCTGAGAGCAGCAAAAATCAGGAACCCAAACCTCATGCTGACGCTTGAGGGTGCTATGGCAAGCCTCACCGCGATGACGACCAGCATGGAGACACAATGAATCATCGCCCAATGCAACGCACCCGACCAATACGATATGGACAACTGAACACTAACAAGAAAGGTGTATCACTCCAAGCTATTCTAAACCAGCGCATTAAAGATTTTGACGTGCTTTTCCTACAGGAGCCACCGTGGTCCCGTATTGGCTCGGACGACAACGGAAACTACATCATCGGCCCAGTTGGACATGGAAGTTGGACACCGGTCCTCCCGGTGGACAACGTGCCACGGGACCAAGCCCCCAGAGTCATGACGTATTACAAGAAACGCCCTGACTTCGACGTCACTCTGCGCTCCAACCTTGCCCAAGACCTCGACATACAAATCATCGAGGTTTCGCGACAAAACGGGAAATGCTGGCTCTACGCAAATGTATACAACGAAGGAGGTCATCGACCAGCATCAGCAGAACGACTGCAACAAGTGAACCTCCCGCAAGACACACCAACAATCTTCCTGGGAGATTGGAACCTCCATCACGAGCTCTGGTCCTGTACAGACAAAAACGGAAACCGACGCTTAAACAAGTTTGTGGAATGGATGATGGAGAGCGACACTGGTCCCAGGGGCATTCTATTGAATGAAAAGGGCGCTGTAACATTTACTCCGCACAATAACATGGGCTCAAGCTCTGTTTTAGATCTAGTGTTTGCGAACAGCAAGGCCGCCGCTGAAGACACTTTACAAGAGTGGACAATTGACCGATCAATGTCATATGGCTCGGACCACCATGGGATTCGATGGACAACGGACGACGGCAGGACAGAGATCAACAACATTACCGGTGCGAAGTACATCATGAAGGACGTCAATCCAGAGGACTGGGGAGCGGCTTTCCGACAGGAACTCGATGCGCGACAGCAAGACATAAACAAGATCATGGATCCGGACCCTCAAGTAAACATCACGAATGAACAACTCGAACAAGCAGCAATGGCCCTGACAGAGGCAATGCAAGCGGCTACAGCTCGAGTGGCCAAGATCCGAAGGCCGTCAAACCAGGCTAAACCGTGGTGGAATGAGGACCTACAGAAGGCGGCAAAGGATCTCAGCAACGCGCAGGAGGAGCTAAAGACGTTTGAGGAGGTAAACAGCGTGCGTTCCTTACCACTTCGCCAGAAAGTAAAGAAGATGAGTAACTTTCTCAAACGGCTGTGTAAAGCTACCAAGACGAAATGGGCAGTCGAAAAGCTACAAGAGGCAACGTTGGACACCATATGGAGCTTCCGGAACTGGTCATCCGGAGCGCGGAATTACCCATCACCCCCAATCAAGAGGCGGGGACAAGGGCCAGCGATCACTCATACGGAGAAGTGCGAGGCCCTTCGCGCTGAACTTTTTCAGCCACCCCCAGAGCTAGAAGCTGAGTACATCCGCAATCTAACGGATACACTCCCTGATGACCTAGAATACCAGGAGGTCACCGAAGAGGAAGTACGGGAAGCAATCTTTGAGTCGTCATCCAAGTCTGCGCCGGGAAGCTCGCAGATCACATACCAGACATTACGCTGGGCATGGGGATCGGCAAGTCAGGAGACCTACACTCTTATCCGACTCTGCCTGAGGAACGGCTTTCACCCAAAACAATGGCGGCAAGCAGTGGCTGTAGCGCTCCGCAAACCCCGCAAACCGGACTATTCCGAACCCAGAGCGTATCGGCTGATCCAACTGCTGGAATGCATAGGCAAGGTGTTCGAGAAAGTAGTGGCCCAACGACTAACGTACCTGGCGGGAAAGCACAGACTCATCCCAGGTGGTCAGTTTGGCGGGGTCTCAAACAAGTCAACTACTGATGCTATTCTCACGTTCACACACGACATCGAAGCGGCATGGAATAACAACAAAGTGACCTCCGCACTCACTTTCGATATCAAGGGGTACTTCGACTACGTTAATCATGATCGACTCCTACACGATATGAGACGGAAAGGAATCCCACTCCAATACGTACGCTGGACAGCATCATTCCTTGAGGAACGCGAAGCAGCAGTATGCATCGACGGAACCCGCGGAGAGATGAAGCCAGTTGAGAACGGCATACCACAAGGGTCACCAACTTCCCCCATCCTCGCCGCATTCTACAGCAGCTTCCTCCTGGAGCTCTTTGAAGAACAACAAAAACAACATCAAGGGATTCCGGGCGAAGACACTACATGCACACCGGTTATGCTCATCATGTACGTTGATGATGGCAAACTCTATGTCTCATCGGAATCGTTGGAGACAAACGTGAAGTCACTCCGGATAGCGTATAAGAAGGTTACAGAAGAACTCCAAAAGGCTGGGCTTTCTATTGACAACACGAAACGAGAGCTGATGCACTATTCACGCAGGAAACAAGACAATGTCGCACCACCAATTCGTCTTACCAACGGAGACAATACATCAACCACAGTCACGCTGAGCTCTTCAATCAAGTGGTTGGGAGTGCACCTGGACCGAAAACTCACGTTCAACCACCATGTGAAGACACTAGCAGCCCGGGCAATGACAAAAATCAACGCGATGACAATGCTATCGAACACTGTCCGCGGGATGTCCCAAGTGCACCTCAAGCAGTTGTACAAGGCATGTGTGGTTCCTGTAATGACATATGCAAGTGCTGCGTGGTGGACAGGGAAAAAGACCCACGAGAAGGAACTAGAAAGAGTCCAGCGCCGGTCCATGCGCCTTATATGTGCAGCATTCCGAACGACCCCAATCGACGCACTCGAGATTGAGTCATCTACGCCCCCAATCCGACTTGCAATGGACCACATCAATAGGGCGACCGGGATTCGATTCAACAAGCTCAACCTACACAACCCGGTCATTGAGCGCCTACCAAACACATGGCGCAATGGCCAGAAACCACATCGGCCCCCTCCGGTACCTGCTCGGCCTCAGAACCGGAACAAGAAGGACCAGAAGAAAACTACGCAACTGGAACGTCTTGCCCATCACACCAATCCCCACGGCGAACGGATCCTCCCTTTCCTTAACCCCCCATGGGGCCAGACAGCAAGCAAGTTTGGTGATCGCATGCGGCTAGAAAAATCCTCGAATGGGGTGGAGAAGGAGGAGGCTGCAGAGAGACACAAGGAACGGATAAGTGCTTTTGCGGACAATCCCGAGCACCTTCTGGCCTACTCTGATGGATCCCTCAGGAAACTACACGGGATGCGACGTGTTGGAACCGGAGTGGTTGTCTACCAAGAAAACACCGAGATTTTTGCGGAGTCACAAGGCCTTGGCGGCCGCGCAGAGGTGTACGATGGCGAGATGGCTGGACTATGGCTGGCAGCTGGGATCACGACAGCGATGGCAACAACTCATACAAACATAAAGCATCTCCACTTCTACGCCGACAACACATCCGCCCTGGCGACGATCTTTGACCCAAAACCTCGAGCCGGACAACTATACGCACATCAGTTCCACAAGGCCATCTGTGGATTCCTCGAGGGCGACCCGCAAAGGACAGTAGAGATCGCGTGGTCCCCGGGGCATTGCAACATCGAGGGCAATGAACGCGCAGACAAACTGGCAAAGAGCGGTACCGAACTTGCAGCACCAGCACTCACCACTCGAGCGTTCGCTCTGAGACAGTCGAAAGAGAGGATACAACATGCTTGGCGACGGGAATGGAAACGCAAACCCAAGTCCGGCCACTACGCAAAGGCAAATCGCATCCCACCCTCCCTGAAGCCAACACGACACTTCACGGAACTCAGCGGACAACGGGAATTATTTGGAAGGGTGATACAGTGCAGGACGGGACATGGATACCTAGGCGAGTTCTACCAACGCTTCAATATTCCCGAGGACGTTGACTGCCCATGCGGAGAGCCAATCCAAACACGAGATCACGTCCTACGATGGTGCCCACTGTACAACGAACACCGACCCGTCATCCGCGCGACATCAGCTAACTTTTACTAAGAAATAATCCTTGGCACGAAAGAAGGCATCGTCGCTTTGGCCCAGTTCCTGAAAGATTCAGGAGCCTTCACCCGAAGCGGACACCCATGGAAGGACTGCGACCTCCCCACACTCATCAACGAACCGGACCCAGAAATCTCGGAAGACGAAGAAGACGAGAACGGATAGTTCTTAACGACGTGGCCCCGACCGGCTATGGCCAAGCCCACCCCCTCATCCCTCCTCCATCCTATATGCACATGCATCATTACGACGCGCTGGAAACCCCCGCACCGACAACGCCACTCTCGGCCTCGCAAACCCGAAAGCTCTCACCCAAGGAGACCAACACCAACAGTAAACATCCTCATACTTGCGTTCACCTCCCCGCTGCCTTCGGGCACCGCTTCTTAGTACTTAGATACTTGCTGCGGAATACAAATGCAGAATCAAACAAACAAACAAACAAGCCTGAACAACACCTCTCTGATAATAATGCGTGACATAGCATAGACAAAATAGCATTAAATAGACATCAGCCTGCGACTCCCTCAGGCGGCGAGAGACGTGATCGACGCCGGCAGCGCATTGTACGTCGGGCACAGCTGGTTCCACTCCGAAGTCGGGATCAGCTCCGACTGCCAGTCGGCCACATCCTCGGCCATCACGACCGCGAACCCGGCTTCCAAGTGCCAGTCGATGTGGCAGTGGAGGAACCACGCTGGTGAGATCAATCAACAATCAGAACGGTCTCGAACGTGTCACACAACGGCACACTCACGTCCGCGGTTGTCCGTGAAGAACCGAATCGTGACGTTGTCGCCCGTGGTTCCGATGTTCACCACGTCGCGGCGGGCTGGGTTGACGTAGTTGTAGGTGCTGCTGCCGGCGGAACGGATGACCTCGAAGGTGTGTCCGTGCAAATGGAACGGGTGCTGTTCGAGGACGGATTGAGTGAGCTCAGAGACCACACGGATAAAGGAGCAAGGACTGACGCCACCACCGATCACACCTCCTGCGAGCGTGATTTCGACAGACGCAAAGTGCGGGAGCGAGTACACCGAGCCGTTGGGCAGCAGCGACTGCGCGGTCTGTGCACCGGACAGGATCTGGAGCAGGACGGGAACCGTGGGGGGAACGAACGCGTCGCCGTTGATCGTGAACTTGAACGTCGTCTGAGAAAGAAAGGATGAGCGACAGACCCTGAGGAGAGACAAGACCGGTCGATGGACGCACGAGATCAAACGCCAGAGCCATGTTGAGCTGCACGTCGGCTCCGCCGCTGAACGCGCCGCCGGAAGTGCCAGGGTTCACAAGCGGGTGCAGGTTCACTTCGTTGACCAGCCCGTTGGTGGACGTGTCTTGGGACGTGGTCGGCTCCGAGGCGTTGGCTCCTTTGTCTGGAAGAAGGAAGGGATGGTCAGGAATCGCAGATAGCTATCTTTTGATAGATCCTAACGCACAGCGGAGGATCGCAGAGTTGATGCCGCCGGTGAAGCCAGTCGGACCGGTGTTCGGGTTGGCGCGGATCCAGTAGTTGTCGACCGCTTGGTCGGCAGTCATGATGAACGAGTACCGTTGGGCTGGAAGAACCAAGTCAGTGGGTGTTTGCCGCGGCGGACGACCGCACGGAGGCTCGCGCTCGCGGCTGCTCACCGGCGTAGATCTGGATCGAGTCGACGCTCAACGGCTCGTGCAGGACACCGTCGGCCTCGATGATGGTCAGGTTCGTGTGGCCGTCGATCTGGAACACGTAGTTGGAGTCGCAGCCGATGTTGACCAGGCGGAACCGGTAGCGCAAGCCTTGGGTGACGTTGATCACGGCCAGCGTCGTGTTCGCGGTGGTCGCCGCGGTACGTCCGAGACCGTTGATGAGCATCGAAGAGGGCGTGCTGCGCAGGTTGAACGCATCAGAGACAGACTGATCGCATCCTTCAGAGCAGCTACCACTCACGCAACACCGGCCACGGTCTCAGCAAAGACGTTGTACCAGTCGGCGAGAGTGATGACGGTCGACTCGTCGTCGACGTCGTACTCGGAGATGTAGGCGTCGGCCGGGTCGTAGATGACCATCGCGCCACGCAGACCGTCGCAGTACTGGGTGGCGAGATGAGAGTGATACCAGAACGTTCTGTTCGATTTTCATTGAGAGCTGCGTTTGCTAGTTCAGAGAATTGCACGTACCCTGATTGCGTGCTGGTAAAGTCGTATGTGAACGAGTTTCCGGGGGAGATCGGGCACTGGTTGATGAACGCAGGTCCGTCCATGAAGTTGGTTCCGTTCTGGAACAGTCCATGCCAGTGCTGCGAAGGAGGGAGGAGAAACGGAAACCAATCAGGGATGCCCAACAAGGCGAGCGTTGGCTGAGGCTCACAATCGACGTCGGCTCGAGCATGCGGTTGTCCTGCTGCTGGTCGACGACCGTCAGCTGGAAGTTGTCGCCGATGTTTCCGGTGACGAGCGTTCCAGGGAACGTGCCTCCGGCCAGGACGGCTGCGCGGGGCAGACCGTCGGGCGAGATTGTTGCGTTGGCCACCACCAGGGAGCCAACTGGCCCAACCGTCGCGGCGGAGACGATCCGCGCTGCCGCAGCGAGAGCAAGGAGGGTGCGGGACGAGGACGAGGAGAACATGAGTGCGATCGGGTCTGTGAGCCAAGGAGATCCTGGTACTACCGGTGCCGTGCTTTCCAGCTGAGTGGCCTGAGTTCATTTATACGCTTTCAGCGGAGAGAGACGATCAATGTTAATCATCCACACGGTTTCCCAATCGGGAAACCCACGCGCACCTTGTCAGTCCGAATTCGGGATGAGCGCCCGGACGGAGTTGAGTGGCTGGACGACAATGACTAAGAGGCTTGTCGCAGAGACGACCCAGGAACCTGCGAGCTGCCGGAGGGAGGAACATTCTCCCGTAACAGACTTGTGATGCGATTTGACCATCAAAGCACGGAACGTCGCAGACGTTACCAAACCTGCGCCTTGATTGGGATTGGACAGCGTTCGGGACCGAGCTTACAGCCGCCGTCGGGCCGGGTGTTCACTCTGCCGTTTCACTGTTGGACTGGGACTGCTGCGGCTCTGCCTCACGATTTCCGAGACCACATCTGTTCTCCATCACCCACCAGATTTCTGTTCGAAGCAGCAGCAACGCATATGCGGTGGAATTCCATCTCCTCGTCGAGATGGCAGACAACTCCTTGCCGTATTTGCCCGCTGCCGCTTGCCACCTCTTGCGCAGCTTTTCTTGGATTACGACTCGGTATCAGTCAACGCAGACATTGTCGATCGCACACGTCCTCGAAATCTTTATCCGCCATCGCCTGGAAGTATTCAACCGGGTGAGCTACCAGAACTGGTCGAACTCGCACATGGGATCTCGAGTGTGCCTCTCCCAGTGCAGTGGAACCGGCCAGTCAGCAGCGCTGTCAGTTTCCGTCACCGTAAGACGCCGGTCGCTCCTGGGAAATAAACATATTTGACTCAGCGCCAGTTCTGCTGTCCGATCGAAATGACAGGCGATCAGATCTGATGTCTGCCACGAGGTATTTTCGACGGAGATCTTCTTTCCCGGACGATTGCCATCGGACGGAATCCGGGGAAGCCGACGATCGCGTTCCTCATGGTTCCTAAACCGGATACGGCCGGAGGTCGCTGAAGTAGCTCGGTACAGGGATCTACAACAGAAGCTGATCAGAGACATGTGCACCGTCCACCAATTCGACGATTTTCGTCATTGCGCGCGGACGTGTTAGGATGGAAACTGAGAGACAGGACGGATCAGAAGAAGTTGAGCGCAATGGTTGGCGGATTTGTTGCCGCGGCCAAGGCTCATCGCTGAACGACATGCCACAGCGAGTCTCAAGGGCAACCATATCGCATCGGCGCTGTTATGATACTCTAAGCAGCGCTCACACCGCGGAGAGTTCGGGCCAGACTTGTCCCATCGCGTGGTTCAGGACTTGTAACGGAGTTCCTCCGGTGTTTCACTGCGTAAGTGACGGCGACGTAAGCATCTACTGGCGGAGGTTCTGCCCTCACGCAATCGGTGTGAAGCTATGTCGTCTCGAGTGGGTAGGACTCCGGTCTCGGTCGGATCGCGATACACGAATGTTTCAGTGGGTGTTTGTGAAACAGCGAGGGTTTAGTGCCCTTTTGCTCCGATTCCATTCTCATAGCATAGATAAGGTTTCATTCCGCGATGACACTGAATTCAGTTACCGTGCGCGAGCCGGGTACAGACCTACGTTACGCTATCTTATCTTGGAAGAACTCATCATGATCAGTCGACTGTCACGAATGATCATCCAAGTCTCTATTGCTTGGACTGTCAGACTCCGTCGGCGCTAGAGTGTGAAAGAAGGGCGTCCTCATTCACTCCTTCATCCTGTCTGGTACGATACTGGATGCTATGCAGCGGCCCACAGTTGACCCCAGTCATCTGGCATGAACAGAGAAGTCCGCAGCATCAGAAGCTTTCACATGATCTTGGCTGACCATGGCTTCTCGCCGCTCAGAACGAGGGGGGAAATCAGGTGTCAAGGCGTGCATGGATGCCGCAGCAAAGAACTAGATTTCATGTCGATACCGTTGATGTAGTGAACAAACGATACGCATTCGTACGACAGAGGGATCTAGCGATTCACGCTCCTCCAACCGGCGCCCTTTGTCCAGAGTCACACGATCTGGTTACTCCGCTTTCCATCGGTCTCAATGATGGAACTGGCTCCGAAAACTACGACACTAGATATCGACTATCCCGCAGTCAAGCGGCCCACGTTACAGGCGGAAATCGGAACTGAATAGCAAACATAACCGCCAAGATCAAAGTCAAACCGCCACTGATGCCGGCGGGAGAACTGTTCATGCTGAGTTCTATGAAGTGAACCACCACGAAGTAGTGACCGCAGCAAGCACTCTCGCTTCTTTTTAAACGCGTCTCACATTGATAGATATACCTTCCGGCTGCAAATCTTTCAGGCTGACCCAAGTAAGCCTGCACATTTTCCGGCGTGCATATCGTGCATATTTCCGAAATGACTTTGATCAGCCTAGAATTGCACATATCATGCGCCACTGCTCTATTGTGCATATTGTGCATTTTCCATAGTTCATATCCTACACATTCTCTGGCATGCATATCATGCCCTTTTTGACTGTGCATTACCTGCACTTGTGCAGCGTGTGTGCTGTGCATGTCCTGCGCATTTTCGGATTCATATCATGCTTTTCTGAATGTTCATAATGTAACCATGCGCATATTGTGAACTGTGCATATCCTGCACATTTTCTGGTGAGGATATTGTGCATTTGACCTGGTAGTATTCTCCTGCACACAGCCTCCACTGCACATATTGTGCGCCATGCATTTGGTCATTTTCTGGGGTGCATGTTGTGCATTTCCTACTGTGTATATTGTGTATTTTCGAGTGTGCATAGCCTGCACTCTGCATTTTGTGTTCCAGTTATATTGTGCATTTTCTACCCCACATCTTGTGTATTATTAGACCATGTGTATCATGCTTTTCCCCATGCATAGCCTGCATGCGCATATTGTGCACTGTGAATATCCTGCACATTCTCTATGGCTTATATTGTGCATTTTCCCGACTGTGCCTAGCATGCACTTGCATGTATTGTGCACTCTGCATGTTCTACATATCTTCTTCTGTGCATATTGTGCAGTGCACAGCTTTCCGCTGTGAATTTGAAAATTTTTGACTGCTAACTTCCTACACTTGTGCATATTGTGCACTGTGCATACCTGTAAGGGCAACCTCGAGGCCCGATCTCAGAGTCCTGACAAGGGAGAGTCCAAAGCGTCAGATACTATTGATGCCAACGCTACGGGAAAAGCACAACGCAAAGGGAAATTGCTGATCTCTCTTTCCCTCCTTCGAAGTTGCCTCCGGTATCATCCGGAACTTGTAGCTACCATTCGAAAACCCTTATATACAAGATTTCTCACTTATACATGAACGGGAACTACATAAAAAACAAGAGCCGGTCCATCATTTCGAGGCCCCAAACCCAAGATGACTTCACAGCACAAGTTCCTCCTCGTGCGAGGCTCTAGTATTTTGTATGAGACGTGCCTTATGTATTCTGAAGGTGCCCCAACCTTCTCCTTGTCTTGCCGGTGCGTGGTTGTGGAGAACTGAAGACAAAGTGGATGAGCGTGACATTTCAAAGTCCGATGGATAAGCGATGTTGATGGCTTGAGAACACGTGCCAACGCATCGCATTTGCGTACTTCCTGACACGCTCATCTCTGGAGGGAGCATTGGGCTCACATCTCTGATTTCGTCGGTTGGATGACCAAGAGTTGCCGCAGGCGTCGAAATGGCCAATCAAAGACCCTGCCCACAGTGAAGACAGCCAAGAAGCCGAAGAAGCCGAAGGATTCTCAGAGAGAAAGCCGCATCCAGACTGCTCTTTGTGAGCTGAATGGGAAGCGTTGTGCAGGTGCTCACTATGCCGTGGCCACAGTCGCAAAAAAGTATAATATTGCAAATTCTACACTTGCTGCTTGCTGGAACAACCAGACCAAGTCTCGCGCAGAGGCAGACACCGATTGCCAGTTCCTCAGTCCTGCAAAGGAACGCGTTCTGGCCACATGGATTGAGTACTTGGGATGCATTGGTGTTCCCCTGTCGAAGAGGGCTATACGTTTGCGAGCTGCACAACTTCGGTCTGACCGAAAGAAGCCCTCCCGAAACTGGATCCCCCTCTTCCTTGCAAGACATCCTGAGATCAAGCTAGCGACCGCGCACGGTCTTGATCCAAAACGAGCGCAGGCTTTCAACAAGCCCGTGGTCGGCCGATACTTTGATAAGCTGGAGGAGCTGGTCCAACGATACGATATCCCCGTCGAGAATATCTACAATATGGATGAGAAGGGCTGTCAGCGAGGAGGTGGAAAGAAGACTGCACGTGTCAAGTACTTCTTTGGACGGCAACAGCGCACACGATATCGCCATCGGAGTGCAAACCTAGAGCTTGTTACAATTCTCGAGGCTGTCTGTGCTGATGGCTCGTCACTGCTCCCTGGTTTCGTGTTTCCCGGAGTCGAGCAATCCCCAGAATGGTTTGACAAAGACCTGGCTATTCTGTGAGTTTGACCCAGGAGTTTCGAAGCTGGGGACTCACGAGCTTCTAGCATTTGCATGTCAGCCACAGGTTGGACAGACAATCACATTTCTGTCCAATGGTTCAAGAAGTGCTTCATTCCACAAGCGAAAGCATGGGCCAAAGAGAAGGGCACCAATGATCAGCCAATTCTGCTTGTTCTCGATGGACATGGCTCACATGAAGCTCTCGAGCTCATTGATCTGGCCCGCGAGAATAATATCATCCTGCTCCTCCTCCCTCCCCACACCACGCACAAGCTCCAGCCATTGGATGTTGGCGTCTTTGGTCCGTTCTCGCGTGCATGGACTGAGAAATGTGATGATGTTGTCGACGACACCACAAAGGAGATGCCTAAGGAGGACTTTGTCAAGCACTACATGGATGTACGGCGATGAACCTTCAAGCCAGCGACCATCCAGACAGCATTTCGAAAAAGCGGCCTTTTTCCGATCAACAGAGCCGCCTTCAATGACGAGGATTATGCTACAAGTGTCCCCTTCTCCACCACCGCTCGAGACATTCCAGTTGCTCCTCAGTTTGAGCCGTACACACCTTTCCAGCTGCCAGCAGACCCAGATGACAAGGATCATTGGAGCAGAGACTTCTTTGACGAAGACGACCCAGAGTATGATGCTTCTGATGTGGATGCGCGACCATACAATCCAGTACTTGACCATCCTCAGGCTGGAGCCGAGCTTCCACCGCTTACTCCGACACTATTCGCTTCTCCCCCTCCGTGCCAAAACTCCAATCTTCCTTCGATCATGCCATCGAATTTCTATTACAATGCGGCGCTGTTCGAGCGTATCAAGGATCTCGAGACGCGAATGCATGCAATGGAGGCCCATATGACCTTGTTAGACACACGCAGTAATCAGCCCAGCAAGAAAAGGAAGCTCAACGTTGATGCACGGTGCCTGACATCGGAGGAGGGACGGGAGTTGGCGGCGCAGCAAGAGGAGGAGCGTTCGGCAAAGGCTCAGGAGAAGGCAGACAATGCGGCCCAAGCCAAAAAGAAGGAGATCGACGCCGTAGTGCGGAGGCAAACAAGAGACGCAAACGAGCCATTTGTTGGTCTCCTGACAAGTCGCAGCAAAGAGCTGCTTGTCGATGTTGCCTTCGATCTCCAGCTGCCCCAGGAGAAGCTGAAGCTCAAAGCCGACTTTCTCGAAGCCATGCGCCAGCACTTCGACAAATTTCCCGAGAAGCGCAGTCACCCCAAGTACTGTAAGGGCAACCTCGAGGCCCGATCTCAGAGTCCTGACAAGGGAGAGTCCAAAGTGTCAGATGAGGGGATCGACTAGTACAGGAGACTGGCAAACCTGACAAGGGAGAGTCCAAAGAGAAACCGAGTTGGGGACTCTCCTTGTCAGGGCCCACTATATATAGCCTACAGAACAATGGATGACCAAGCACAATGGAAGCGCCAGACAATGGGGCCAGGGAACAATGAGGGGCCGGATCGGGGGGAACAATGGGAGTGCGGGCCGGAGTGTCATGTGGACGTGCTTGGCAGGGAAGTCCGGACCGAAGCATGTGACGCTTGACAGATGGCACGTGCACGGTCACATGCGAGATCCCATGATGATCGGACAAAAGCAGGGGTTCCCCTGACATCACCCCCCCTCTTGATTGCGGCGCCTCGACGCAAGGTACGGTTAGGGGCCAATGAGTTCCTGAAGGGTAGCGAGTTGAATACGGCCGCTGCAATGACGCGTGGCTTTCCCGGGTATCTGCGGTAGAACGCTGCCACTGCGTCGTCAGCAAAAACATCTGAGTGTTTGACCCACTGGTCGTGAGACGGGTTGTAGCCCTTCCATCGTACTTGGAACCAGACACTCCGGTAGCGCATCTTTGCGTCTAGGATCTCCTCCACTTCCCACTCCTCTCCTTTGCCTTGTCCTAGGACAGGGGGTGGTTCTTCGTGAAGCAGGTGAGTGGGGAACGGGTCGTCTTTGGCCAACTGGAGCTTGACCACAGGGAAGACTGGGTGGAGGCGAGAGAGGCTGGTGGGGAGGGCGAGCTTGTATGCGCCCCGGCCTACGACTTGGGTGACTTTGAAGGGGCCCAGGCGTCGGTGGGAGAGGCCGCGAGAGGGTCGTGTCGTCGTGATGTCTGAGGCGTCGAGCCAGACTCGGCTGCCAACCTTGATGTCGGGAGCGGTAGTCCTTCGTTGGTCATAGTACCTCTTGTACTCGTCCTTTGCTTTGACAAGTGCCGATTTAGCCTCGGTTACACCCGATGCGACCCGGTCCAGAAACTTGTTGGCGGACTCTGCTCGGGTGGAGCGCTGCTCTGTTGGCTCGAATCCCATGCGTGGTAAACGTCCTGTGTCCGTCATGAAGGGAACCTGCTGGGTCAAGGAGTGGACGTGGTTGTTGTAAGCAAACTCAGCTGCGGGCAAGAGCTCATCCCAGTCATCCTGCTTGTAGCTGGTGAAGATCCGGAGGTACTGCTCCAACTCCTGGTTGACCCGTTCGGTCTGGCCATCAGTCTGCGGGTGGTAAGCGGTGGACGTGGCAGGGGAGACGCCAACCAGCTTCCATAGCTCTTGGGTGAAGTCTGCCACAAACTGAGGGCCACGGTCCGAGACGTATTTGATGGGTAATCCGTGGTGTCGCCAGACATGCTTGTAGAACAACCGAGCCATCCCTTCGGCCGAGAGGCGAGTGTGGCACTCGATGAAGTGGGCACGCTTCCCCAGCATATCAACGACCACCATGATGGCGTCGTAGCTGTGCGCCTCAGGCAGCTCCACGATAAAGTCCACCGAGACCGATTCCCAACGTTCCGAGGGGATCTCCGTGGGGTGAAGCTCTCCGGTAGGGAGTCGTCGGAGGGCCTTGGTCCGACAGCACAGGTCGCAGGTGGCCACGTACCGGCCAACATGTCGTGAGAGCTGGGGCCACCAGTAGTTCCGGGAGACCAGCTCCAGTGTCTTGAAGCGGCCAGCATGCCCCGCAACGCGGGTGTCGTGGTGTTGCTCAAGGATGCGTCGCCGTAGGTCTCTGTCACGCGGGACCACTAGCTTCCCACGGAAGTAGAGGAGGCCGTCCTGGATGCGCCATTCCGCTGCTACAGCGGAGCGGGCCCCCTTCATCCCTTTCAGAAGCCGTCGCGCTATAAGCGCAAGTTCTTCCTCAAGGTCAGGGTCACCGGAGAGCGATTCCCGAATGTCACGGACAAGCGGGGCTTCCGGGCCAGAGACAAACAGTCCTTCGAGTGCGCGCACATGGAACAGTTCTGGTTTCAACAGGGTAACGTCTGTGTTGTCCAACGGGGCTCCGTGGTCCAGGCGTCGGGAGAGTGCGTCTGGTCGTCCCATGAGCCGGCCGGGTTGGTGGTGGAGCGTGAAGTCGAAGCGGGATAGGTAGAGCGACCATCGGGCTTGCCGGCGATTGAGGTTCTGGGCCTTGCGGAAGTACTCCAGGTTCTTGTGATCGGTCCAGATCTCCACAGGGTGTTCGGCGCCCTCCAAGAAGTGCCGCCACTCCTCCAGCGCTCGCACAATTGCAAGCATCTCTTTGTCGTGGATCTCGTAGTTGCGCTGGACGTCGTTAAGGCTTTTGGAGAAGAAGGCGACTGGGTGCCACTTGTCCTCTGAGGGGGACTGCTGCGAGATGACAGCTCCTGTGGCAAAATCGGAGCTGTCAGCCTCTAGGCGATAAGGACGGGAGGAGTCTGGGAGGAGAAGGACCGGTGTAGAGGTGACTGCATCCTTCAAGGCCTGGAAAGAAGCGGATTCGTTGTCGCCCCAAGACCACGATATGTCCTTCTTGGTGAGGTCGAAGAGCGGGCGCGCAACGTGGGAGAAGTCCCGAATAAACCTCCGATAGAAGTTAGTGAACCCGAGGAACTGCTGCACTTCCTTCTTGTTAGAAGGAGCCGGCCATTCGGCTACTCCTGCCACCTTGATGGGGTCCATCTCGACGTGGTTGTGGGAGATGATCACGCCAAGATACTCGATGGACTCCATCTCAAATTCGCACTTCTCGGCTCGGAGATACAGCTTGTTTTTGCGGAGGCGTCGGAGGACTTCGTTCACAATACAACGATGGAGGTGAGGGTCGGAGTGCACAATGAGGATGTTGTCCAGGTACACCATGACGTCGCCCGAGAGGATGAGGTCCTGGAGGATGTCATTCATCATGGTCTGGAACATCGCAGGGGAGTTGGTAAGGCCGAAATACATCACCAGTGGCTCGAAGAGCCCACGGTTGGTCCGAAACGCAGCCTTCCACTCGTCTCCTTCTCGTATCCGTTGAAATGCTGAGGGCGTGCTCACAAGTGAATCTACTATGAAAGTAAACCCAAATATAAACACGTTCACACTCCTCGTAATCAGCTTCTCAGTGTGTGAAAGATGCGAGGGCTTCGGGGTGGACAGAGCACCAGTATCACAACTCTCAATAGACGCAGATCAATAGTCGCGGAAGACGAAGTCGACGACAAGAATTTATATATAGTAAGCAATGGTGTCTGAACCAATATCTTCTATACAAATCACAACCAACAACAATCCAATCACAATCAACAATATAACAAGTCAGTATTAAGATCCCTTGTAGCGACAGCGTGTAGATGGTGACGCAAAACCCAAATACTGAGTCGACACACTGCCAACTGACACAACCAAAAGTACTGAGTTGACGCACTGCCAACTAGTAAACCAAAATGCCGCGTCGACGCACTGCCAACTAACAGCCAATATCCAATGTCCAAAACCCGAGCACAACTTGTCGACGCACTGCCAAGCAAGAAGTGTGGAACCAAAGTTCTCAAGTTGACGCACTGCCAACTGACCAAAACAACCCGAGCACAACTAGTCGACGCACTGCCAAGCTAGAGGTGTGGAACGATCTCAACAAAGCCCGAAGGCGACGACACTAAATGCCGCGACTAAACCAGGTGCAGCAAATCCGACTTTCTGATGTCTCAAAACTCAAACTCAAATCACAGTAGCTACAAGTGCTCAGGGAGCAACTCGTCGCGACCAGACAGGGGTAGCAGAACTTCTTAGGGTGGAATCACGCGGCACGCAAATTGTACAAAACAATCTGAAATGAGAGTGATTCACAGTCCGGGGAAAGCTTTTTAATACAAAGAAACGACGTGCTACTTATACTGTCTACGACGGTGCTTAGTAAAGTCCTGTACAACAGTATAGTAGCTACGCGATCTAAGATCGGTTGCCTTTTAGGGTAATTGAAAAGTTGAACGATCGGACAGGTCCTAGTGATCAGGACCCCGCCCCATAGTCCATATGATACTTTTGATGTGGGTCAACCCGCCGCGTCATACCTTTGGAATACGACGTGCTGGATTGGCCAACGGGTATGTCTTGGCATGTGAGACCAACGTGGGCGCCCCAAGAAGCCGTATGGCCCTAGGCACGCTGGTCGTTTCCCACATGACTCGGTTCACGGATCTAGCCGTGTCGGTTTCTAGTGTGTTTGGGTATGGGCGCGACCCGCCGTGACACTTGGAAGTGTCACCGCGACGCGTCCACAATGTCCCGTGATCGAATGGATCCTGACATGTGACAAGTCGTCGCCGTAGCACGATATGAGGAAACGTCCAACTCAAGACCAGGAGTTGCCGCGACAAGATTGGTTCAATCTCGTAACGCCAAGTCCTGTCCAGTAGTAGTTGTATTATTGAGAACGTCGCACATTGCTCAGCCCTTCAGCCCAAGTTCCCATCTGCAGGGAATGACCCTTTTGAGGAGTCGCCGCAACGACAGATCCCTTCTTGGGGAATGGTCGCGGCCCAAGCGTTCGTCACTAATGGCCCTGAGCCTGGTATAGACTCATAAGACCAGTTCCACAGTAGTGGTCTGACTGCCTTGCTATCGTCGACACTATCCACAGTCGTCAACTGGGCAGTAGACCCTTAAGTCCTACTGAGCGCAACACTGTCATCCGCGACACGATACACCGAGTGGTTCGAGAGTAAACTCTTGTAAAAAGCGCAAAAATACGCCCTTACAGAGCTGGTGCAGAGCGCATCTGGTAGCCAGCCTATCACCGTACGTTGTTGAAGCCCCATCGAACATCGAGTTTGGTGAAGAAGCGGGCTCTCTTGAGCTTGTTGATCAGGTCGTTGATCAAGGGGAGGGGGTACCGATTCTTCACTGTCATTGCATTCAGTGCCCGGTAATCCTGGACAAACCGTAGGCTGCCATCCTTATTCTTGACAAAGAAGATGGGGGAGGCCATGGGGGACTTCGAGGGTCGGATTCGGCCGGTGGCCATGCCTTCTTCAATGAAAGCGTCGAGCTGCTTCTGCTCCAAGGGGGAGATAC